TTAAAAATTACAAAAAATATCTATAAAGATTATTTATAAATTTATTTAAATAAATAAGATACAAATAAACTATTTTTGTATATCATTAATTTAATTAATCAATAATCATTACTATATATAAAAATCAAAATTTATTAATTAAATCGATCTTTAGTTACTAAGTAAAAATATTCTAAAGATCAAAAACTATATACTATAAAAGTTTCATATAAATTGAATAATTTTTTATTAATACGTTTTTTTAATTTATAATCAATGAATATTATTTTTAAAAAACTTTTAAATTTTTTGTTTAATGTAAAATACAAAACTATATTAGTAAAAAATTAACCAATTTAAATGAAATTTTCAGAGTAATAGTATTTTAATCTTGTGCACATTTTTACTTAATAGCAAAAGATCGATTTGTATAATAAAATTATAACTTTAATATATGATAACAATTGTCAATTATAAAAATATCTTATTATCAGATTAAAATATTAAAATTTAATCATTAAATCCGAATTAGATTGTTAGATTCGGACTTAAATGTTAAATATAAGTTTAATAATATCCAGATTTATTAATAATATGAACCATTTGTGGATTTTACATTTAGATCTACTAATTACAAAAATTAACTAAGTAATTATTCTGCAGATTTGATACAACAATAAGTATAACATTCTAAATTCAAATAAATAATCAAAGTTATAATATTTTAGAATGCATTACAAATTAAACTTTCAAGATTTTCTGATGCAATTGCATTGTCTTGATAATTCATTCTAATTTATATACTTTTTTATTTATTTTATTAAATCTTATTATACAAATGGAGTTTCGAGATTTCAGGTAAGGTTTTGAGTTTTAGATAAGGTTTCAGGTTTTGAATAAGGTTTTGGAAACTATAATCCAAAATCTGAAACTTTCAGATTTGGCCAAAAAGGTTTCAGTGACCAAGTTTAATATCTGGTACTTCTGTGTTAAGAGTAAATATAATGCCATGAGTTTCTTAAAAGTCTGAGTTTGGGTTACCTTAGTAAAATTTTTTGTAATCTTTAATTAAAGATTTTTAAGAATTTAATTATTATATAAAATTAATTGCAGAGTATAACTTATATTTGCAAAGGTTCTACTGTGGTTACTGTGACTATTGTGGCTTGTGTAACCTTGTGTAAACTTAGTAGTACAAGTTTGTAGCTATTGTGACTAGTGTTACTGTTATAACTAATATAGTACAAATTTATAAATAGTTACATATTATAGTAACTATTATGTAATTGAGTACAATATTTATTTTTAGTAAGTTATACAAGATAATTTGTAACAAATAAATTTTTTTTTTAGATAAATTTAATTTACACAATGTGAAATTAAATAAAACCAATTTTAGAACTGATTTAAGATTATACAAAAAATATTTTGAAGAAAAATTTAAAGATAAAGACAAAAGAATTTTTTTAAAAAAAAACTACAGAGAAGTTAAAGTTGATTTCTATTATAATTCTGTCAATTTTAGACCTACAAACTTGTTTTTGGGCTTGTTTTGATCGAAATAAAGTGTTTTACAATTTTTCTTATGACTATTTAATAGATTAACAGGATACTTTATAAGAAATAATTAAATGTTTAATAGTAAAGGCTTAAGGTTATTTTGGTAGTATTAAGCTACAAGTTTGAATGCTATAGACTTGAAACTTTCATAATATATAGAAAATTAAGAGCTAAGTAAGTTTATTTAAGATACCAAAGTTAGTCATTTTAATAAAATAACCAGTTATTAGCAATTTTGTTACTAATGAATTATTAGTTATTTTTATATAAAAAGGATTTATAAAAAGAGTTATTATTTAATAATTTTAAAATAAAGATGAGGTAACTTAGTGAAATAAATAAGTTGTTAACTTTTAAGTAGTAGATTGTGAGTTCAAAACTCACTAATAATAAAAATTTAGACAATCACTTATGTAATATATAAATAATATCATAGTGACAGCATTTTGTTGATTAGTTAAAATAAGATACCTATAACTATAGTTATACTAGCATGACTGGCAGGTTACTGAGCATCTATGTAATCTTAGTTACATGGAGAGATGCAAACAAGTACTGAACAATATAAATCTAAGATAAGTTCTTGTAGTTTTGTAAATCTGTAAAACTGAAAAAAATTAGAACCCATTTAAAAATACTAGTAAAGAGATAATATGGATCTTTGACAATACTATTGTAAAGGCTAAATCCAGAAATAAATACTAATAAAAAGACAAAAACCTCAGATGAAGAATACTACCAACCAGGTTATTGGATTTCAGACTGAAAGAAAAGAATATTGGATCAGTCTCAATATACTAAGGACAAGTTACAATCTTTGCAGGTTAACTAGATTGGAATTTTGAAAACCAAAGTAGAGGTATACTAAAAGTACTAATAATATGTTGTGAAGTTAATACTAAGATCTTGGTAAATTTTACAAGGATAATACTTGTTAATAGTCAGTAAAGTAAGTAAGTAGTTAACAAGAAAGGTTCTTTGCACCTTACTGGCAAATGTTATATTCTGAAATATGTAACAGTCTAAAAACTTGTACAAAAAAGATAAGTACTATACTGCTCAGACAGTATACTAGTTAAATATATATGAAGGGTTAGTTAGTATTACATTATGATAGAACAAATGATCTGAAGGTTTAAATGAATAATCTTCTAGTAGATTATAGATATAGCATCTAGTGTAGAACCCTAAAGCAGACTACTTAAATAGGCAACCAAAAGTTGCACATATGACTAGTTGTACTTTCATCTCTGTATAAAATAACTAACTTCAACAAAAGTTAATAAAGTTTTACCACAAAGTATGATCTTAAAAAAAAAATTTTTTTAAATAATTATAAAACCATGTTGCATAAATTTTTCAAACTAAAAGCATTAACAAAAACTAAAATCTTCTTATTATAAACAATAATAGAACTAAACATAACTGTAAAATATACAAATATTTTTGTTTATATAGTAGATTATTATGCTGATTAACTGTTTATTTACTAATCAACTTATTAGAAAACTAATATCTAAATTATTTTCTAGATTAAATACAATATTCCTTCTAATTATATCTTAACTATACAAATCTAAATAAATATTAATTATTCTAATAAGTTTAAATTACAGATAAATATATTTAAGTTTTTACTCTTGTATGTAGTTTTCTTTTTATCTTGTGCTTAGAATAATAGTTATTTATATAGTTAGCAGTTTGAAGGTTAACCCTGACTGCAAGTGTTGGCTACAGTTATAACATATATATATAATCTTTTTTTACCTAACAACTTTATGTACAGTTGAAATCCGATATATAGAAGTCTACATTTTGACCTTATGCCTTCGCTATATAGAAATATTCAGTTATCAGAAGATAAATTTATATATTCAACACATTTTATAATACCAAAAAAAATTCTTTATTTCAAAATATTTGCTATAAAACCAATAAAGAAACTAGCAAGGTCTCACCTTAATACCAAAAAAAACAGTTATTCTTATAATAATATTAAAATTTTGTAAAAAAAAATATATATAAACTATCAAAATCAAGATCGATATTTCTTCAAGTTTTAATTTGTCTACTAACAATACCAATTCTTTAAACATCAGTAACTCATATTATAACCTGAGGTATTGATAAGCTAAGGAGCTGTAACAGTATTCGCAACTTGGGATGGATAAGAATATGATGTAGTGGTGCCCACAACCTCGGATGGATTATAAGCTCCTTCATCATTGTTTAGATACTGAGTTTCTTGAGGTATTCGATTAATTTTCCAGAATAAAAAAATTAAGAATGATGTGCATACGACAGATAAAACAACAAAAGCGAATGCAGGACCTAAAGTTATGTTTAAGTTTAATGGGCTCGTTCGATTCTTTCGAACTATAATACTAAAAAGGACAATATCTCCTATCATTGTCGCTAAAATGACAACTAAACCAATTACTGAAATCCATATTGCGGGCCTTATATTATTGTTTTTAAAACAAAAAGTAATACTCATAATAGTCAACACTAATGAAATTATGAAACCTAAAATAAATGAATAAATATTAATAAAGTAAACAAAATAGAAATTATTATCAATAATACTTTAAACATAATCATTGAATATTACCAATAGCATGCACAGACATTAAAAACTGCAAGACACTATTCAAGCTTGAATCCGGTGCATTTTTGAAATCGTCTTGATAAGAATCACATTCGGTAATTTGATATGGATATAAATATGTAGGTGAATAAGATGAGATGGTATAACAATAACCGTATACTCCGATTATTTCCACATATTGGTCGGTAGAAGAATCTGTTAGTTTTATTTTATAAATTGATGAAATAATTGGAGCGCTCAAATTTGCTAGCAAGAGAAGTAATAGTGAAATAAACGAAATAAATGCTGTGATGATAAGTAGCGTTTTACGTTCCATTTCGTTGCTTTAGTTAAGAGGTAATAGATAGAAAATAAAAATCACAATAACATTCTTAATAAAAAAATTTTGAAGAACTAACGATTGAGTTACGTGAATATTATAAAAAAGGTTTATCCATAGCAATTTCATCCTTTTTGATTCATGGGGTTCATCTTTTTTGATTCATAAAAAAAGGCCCACTTTGTTATTAAAGTTAGAATGGTTAAGTCATCTGGTGGTAGTATCAAAAAAATATGCCCTTTTTTATGAATCAAAAAAGATGGACCCCGTGAATCAAAAAGGATGTGTTTGCTTATCCATACTTTCAAAATTTTCTTTATGCAACATAAATATGCAATATGCACGTACTGAATCTGTGACAGGTTATGCCGATTACCAAATCTAAAGTGCACAAAATATCAGAATTCAGCGCAGGCTTTAATTTACACAATATTCGATATTTAAAATGCTTTTATACAATTAAAATTTGGTGCTGAAACCTTTTATTTAGAAGTCAAACTGTGGTTATCATAGTAAAATATTGAGTTATTTGCTTTTCGAATTTTTTAAGTTACACGAGATCTTGTGATTTTATTGGCTACAATCAGATTTCATTGACAACAATTAGTAATGATCAACAGTCAAGATTGTGTATATAAGTGCAGACGACAAAAAATTACAGGCATTTTTTTTTTGTCGGAGTTAAATTAACTCTAATTTGTCGTACGTATGTTCAATGATGATGTTATCGGAGTTTTTTCTGCGATTTTGCAAGACTGATTGCAAAATAATTTAACATTTTGTTTATTATGTCGTAATTGGGAAGGGGATTTAAGTGTATTTGGAATTTCCTATTTAAATTGGGTTAGGGTCAGATTGTAAGCCCCGAAATTGGTCCCAAAGTTATTACGGTTACACGTGATTGATCGTCGAATTGAGGTCCCGTTCTCTACCCGAGTAATTGGTCATATAAAAAGTAAAAGAAATTTTACTTACTTCTATTACTTTTATTACTTTTGTTACTTTGGGTAGATCGACGATATGTAGAATATCCGTTTCTTCTTTATAATAGTAGGGATACGGGTTTTAACGATATTTTGTAAATAAGTAATATAAAGGAAATTAACCTCGAATGTAAATAATTCTTTTATTATAATAAAGGGCTTCTCTCCCAGGGGAAAAAACAGACATACATACCCTAAGTAATTACATTTGCATACATAAAACTTAGTACCTGACCCATAATAAAAGTGAAAGCATTATCTTATCCAAGTTAATCCCATCACTAGCATAATCGTTCGCCCAAAAACCACTAAACCACAAATTGATCGCTCGCCGTTAACGTAATGAAAGAATTCCAACTCCGATCCGACGTATTGTAATCCCAGGCTGAGGCAGCAACGAGAAGACAAGTATTAGTATTGTGAGTCGCAGAATTGTAATCCCGGAAGGAGGTAATCGAAGTGGGTATGTCAATCTTTTACCTAAGATGCTGTACTGTATAAGTTGTAAACGTCGTATCGGGTCTTTAAGGGAAATTAGTGGGATAAAGGAGAATTAGTATAATTAGTATAGACATTATAAGTAGTATATGCAGGATAATGAATATAGGTGATATATTACGAATGGAGTGTATAATGTCCCCTATGTAAAAGAAAGTATAAATAAAGGCTTCGAGCCCTACGAAGAAAAACATTATTAGTTCTTGATCAATAAAATTTTTCTCATAATAATTCCCTGCTTTCGCTACATAATAATAAAACCTACAATCATAAATAACCCCACTCGCCAAATCTAACACGCCCTTTTCGACTAAGCCGATTCGTAGGTTACACGACATACCCGATTGTGGAGCGACCGACACGCTGTTCAACGTTGTCAGTATAAGAATAGGTTGAAGGAAAGACTCAAGAGGAGACCAGTACTTACTTACGGACAAACCAACCAGCCAAATTTAACACGCCGATTTTGACTTAGCCGCAGTAGGTTACGCGAGAATTGGAATAGATCAGCGTCAGACTCGCCGATTTACCGAACGACAATGTGACAAAATCAACCCCAAATGCGTGTTTTATATAAAAATTCCGGAACCACCTATATTCCGTTTCCTTCTACAACATATATAACCCAATTTCATTGACAGTTACTTCACCGACAGCCATTTTGCAGATAACATATTTTTTTCAGATAATCTGATTCACTTCCTCGACTTCACTTCCCGGCAGTTTATTCCTCATTAGCTATTTCATCGAAAAATTTAGAGTTAGGGTTGGCCCAGTTTATGATTAGGTTTGGCTAGAGATAGATAGTGAAATAGACAATCAGCAAAATGGGTTTGTCAACGAGATGTACTGTCAGGGAAGTGAAATCATGAAAGTGAGCTGTCGGGGAATTGATTTAAATTTAGTTGTTGGATAAATAGGTTATCAGCAAAATGGCAACTGGTGCAATAGGAGTCAACAATCGTCGTCAGTTGCTTATTCTCTCTGCTATAAAGCATCTTATAGCTTTAGGTTTCGTCTATTTCCTATAAAAACTTTAATAACAAGGCCATCTAAAAAAAGGTAAATTAACCAATTAATAGCTTATTACAGCAGTATTTAAATAAATATACTATAGATAACTTTAGCTAATTAAAATTAAAATTCTAAAGATACACATATTAGTAAAATTTGTATAACTTGAATTAAAAAAAAACCCCAAAATTAATTTGATAAAAGTTGATGTAATGTTTGTAAGTAGTTTATACTATAATTATATGAATTTTTTGTTAGAATCCCAAAACAGTGTTACTAACTAAATTTTAATTCATTATATGTATCTATGCTTCATATACTATAATAAAAATATAAAATGCCTTTATATAATTATAAAATTTATAATTATGTAAATCTATATTGGGCTTGTTTATTTAAATAAAATTCTAACTCTATATTAACACAACTTTCTGATGATTCTTGGTCAAGGCCGTATCATTCGTATAGTTGAGGATTTGTATGAAGGCGGAAATGCAGAAAACCTATAATTATTGTTTATTAGAAACATCTGGATAAGTGACACTAAAACATACACATATTACAAAATGTTTAAACGAGCCATTTATTAGAATAATATTAAACTTTGTAAGAAAATAATTCTAGACTATTAAGATCAAGGTCAATATTCCTTCAAATTTAATTTTGTCTACTAACAAAATCAATTTACTAAACATCAGTATCTCATATTATAACCTGGGGTGTTGATAAGATAAGGAGCTGTAACAGTATTCGCAACTTGGGATGGATAAGAATATGATGTAGCAGTGCCCACAACCTCGGATGGATTATAAGCTCCTTCATTATTATTTAAATACTGACTTTCTTGAGGCATTCGATTAATTTTCCAGAATAAAAAAATTAACAATGATGTGCATACGACAGATAAAACAACAAAAGCGAATGCAGGACCAAAAGGTATGTTTACACCTGATATCAAACTAAAAATAATAATTTCTTCTATCATTGTCGCTAAAATGACGACTAAACCAATTACTGAAATCCTTATTGCTGGCTTTATATTATTGTTTTTAAAACAAAGAGTAATACTCATAATAGTCAACACTAATGAATTATGAAACCTAAAATAAATGAATAACTATTAATAAAATAAACAAAATAAAAATTATTTATCGATAACACTTTAAACATAATCATTGATCGAATATTGCCAATAGCGTGCAAAAACTGCAAGACACAATTTTCCAGTCAAATACGTCATAATAATCACATACGGTACTTTGATATGGATAGAAATCATTTGAGACGATATAACAAAACCGTATACTCCGAACACTTGTTCGATATGAAAATCTGTTAATTTTATTGTATAAATTGATGGAATAATTGGAGCGCTCAAATTTGCTAGCAAGAGAAGTAATAGCTGAATAAACGAAATAAATGCTGTGATGATATGTAGCGTTTTACGTTCCATTTCGTTACTTTAATTAAGAGGTAATAGATAGAAAATAAAAATCATAAATACATTTTTCATAAAAATTTTTTGAGTAACTATTTATTCGCAAAGTTGGTACAACCGAGTTACGTGAATATTTATTAAAAAAAGGTTTATCCATACTTTACAAAATTTCTTTATGTAACATAAATATTGTTCATGTTTATCTGTGTCATAACTTTAGTACCCAAAAGGGAATTATTTAACCTGAGAATGCAAATTATGTTTGTAATATTGTAGACCAGCCCAATATGTGCACAAAGCGAAGAGGAAATAATAATAAAAATAAAACGAAAAATAAGGATTTAAACCTGCATTGAAGTAATAATTGAAATGACGAGAATAAAGTTTTGCACATTAATCTAAATTTTTTTTTTTTTTGAGTTTCAAAATAGTGGGACGTAGCAAAGCATCTGAGTATAAACATTAGAATTTACTGCAGAATTTTTTTCTTTGATAATCAATATTAATATATACTTCTGTAATAAAATTTCATGCTGAAAATTTTTTTTAAAAGTCAGACCGTAGTTAGCATATTAAAAAAAAAACATTGTTTTATTTAAGAATTTTATGTTTCTCAATGTTTTTTGAATGTTCAAGTTGCACTTGATCTTGTGATTTCATTGACAATAATCGGCCAATATTGTGTATTACATCCCTGGCTTCAGCAGGTATTTATTCTCTGGTATTAACCAATTTCACTGAAAGCTTTCGCCGACACTCGTTTTACCAACGGCCATTTTACCGATAACCCATATTTCCGTCACATCCTTGACTTCACTTTCCCGACAGTTTATTTCCCGATAACTATGTATTTCATCGACAAATATGGCCCGCTGTGTATAGTTAATGTTGGCTAACTTTATAGTTAGTGTTGGTTAAAGGTAGATCGTAAAATAGGGGTTAGAAAAAATGGGCATGTCCACTAAATCAACGGTAGGAAATCTACCAAATCCTTATTTTCTCTGCTACTAGTCCTATAGCTTAGGCTTCATCTTTCGTTATTGAGTAATCTTTTTCTATTAAAATTTTAATTATCAAAAAAAAAGTTAACCAATCAATATACTATACTATTAATAAGTTTAGCTAATTAAAATAAAATTTTCTAAAAAATATACTAATATATATATATGCATTATCATAATTAGTAATATATTATTTATAATATGAATCTTTTTTAAAAAAAATACAAAAAGGTTCAAGTTAAATTAAATTTTGGAGTATGCAGTTTATATTAACTTTTATGTTATTTTTTTTTGTTATAATCCCAAACCAGTTTTATTAACAAAATTTTAATTTATTATATGTATATATGTATACTTTATACACTAGAGTAAGAATAGAAAATGGCTTTATATAATTATAAAATTTATAATTATGTCAATCTATATTGTGTTTGTTTCTTTAAACATAAAATTTCTGACTCTAGATTAAAACAATTTTGATGATTCATGGCCACTCAATGGTCGTAATGGCCGTATCAATAATAGTTGAGCATTTCATAAAGGCTGAAATGCAGAAAACCTATAATTATGTTTATTAGAAGCATTTCCAAGATAAGAGACAAAATGTAAAGTCACTAAAACATGTACATACAACAAAGTGTTTAAACGAGCCATTTATTAGAATAATATTAAAGTTTTGTAAAAAAAAATAGGTTTACTATATACTATAATTAACAACATTCCTTCAAATTCAATTCTTTAAAGCATCCGTAACTTGTAACCTAAGTGTATTTATAAGGAGTTGTAACAGTACCCATAACCTGAGATGGTTGATAATATGATGCAACATTGCTCACAACCTCGGATGGATTATACGATTCTTCATGATTATAAGATTCTTCATTCTTATATAGTTGTTGATTTCCTTGAGGCATCCGTTCACTCTTCCAGAATAAAAAAATTGACAATAATGTGCATATGAAAGATAAAACATCTAAAGCGAATGAAGGACCCAAAGATACATCTACATCCGGCTGAAATTGTTGATTCTTTCGAACTATAATGCTAAAAAGAATAATATCACCTATCATTGCCATTAAAATGACAAATAAATAAATTCCCGAAATCCATATTGCTGGCTTTATATTATTGTTTTTAAAACAAAAAGTAATACTCATTATAAACAACACCAAAGAAATTAATAAACCTAAAATAAATGAATAAAATTAATAAATAAGCAAAAATAAAAATTATTTATCAATAATACTTTAAACATAATCATCGAATATTACCAATAGCGTGCACAGACATCAAAAATTGCAGGAAACTATACAAGCTTAAATCCGGAGAATTTCTATAATTGTCCTGATAAGAACCGCATTCATAAATCCGTTTGGGTTCATTAATTCCGTCTGGGTGTGAATATGAATTACTTGAATTGGTATAACAATAACCGTATAATCCATCTGTTTCTTCTAAATATTTGGTAGAAGTTGAATATGTGAATTTTATTGTATAAATTGTTGGTGTAATTGGGGCACTCAAGTTTACTAGTAAAAGGAATAATAATGAAATAAACGAAAGAAATGCAGCAATTATAAGTAATGTTTTACGATCCATTTGGGTGACTTTAATAAAAAGATAAAAGATAGGAAATATAAAATTTTAAAATATTAAAATACGCACATTTATTCTAGAATCTAATTTTCTTATGCAACATAAATATTACTAATATATTGTTCATGTTTATCTGAGTCATGACTTCATATGCATGTACTCAAGGGGGATTATGTACCCGGTGAATACAACTATTGTTTATGGTATCGCCAATTTATATATAAAGCTAACAAGAGAGAGAAAGCGAGAGAAAACCGAAAAAAAGGCGTTTAAACCTACATTGAGGCAGTAATTGAAAATGACATAAATTTAAATCTTGCAAATAATAAATGACTATTTTTTTTTTTTTTAATAGGAGTTTCAAAATATCGGGGATGTAGTGAAGCATCTGAAATTCAGACGGACGTAAAGATTAGAGTTTACTGCAGGCTTTAGTTGATTTGGTACCAATATTTAAATATGCTTCTATAACTAAAATTTTGTTAAAGATTTTTATTTACAATTCAAACTGTATTTGGTATAGTAAAATCCCGAATTTTTTGTTTTTTTTCGTTACCAGGAACCAAATGTTATATGTAGCATAACATAACGAGTGTTACGTACGTACTGACATATGTGTAGCATAACAAGAAGGGATGGTGATACGGCATTTTTTATGATGTCTGTACACAAACCATTCAATCCCATTTCACTTCTGGATGCATGTATTATTATGATATAAACTATTAAAACTCTACGATGTATTTTGTCCGTGTTAAAGTGATCTGATTGACTTGCCTATGAAAATCGAAGGCATTTAATAATACTGATTCGAGTTGGCTCCATTGAGTAAGATGCTTCTGATATTCAAATAGTAGAGCTAAAGTCATAATCATGTAATTGGTATACTAGAAACGTGGTGAAACGAATATGGCTAAATTTAAGTTTTCAAAATCTTGATTTGAATAATCTGATGATTTTTTAATCTGATGACTTTTACTTTTACATACTTACACTCTTGAGTACATATGACATCATCGCATATCATCGTAATTGTAGCCAATAAAATCTCAAGATATCGTGTAACAAAAAAATCGAAAAGCAAATAACTCAAAATTTTACTATGATTACCATAAATAAAAATTTCAGCACAACTTTTTAGCTATATAAGAAAATTTTTAAATATCGAATATAAAATAAATTAAAACCTGCGCTAAATTCTGACCTTTGTGCTCTCTTGATTTGGTAATCAACATATTCAGTACGTGCATTGTAGCCAATAAATCACAAGATCACGTGCAACCTAAAAAATTAGAAAAACAGGAAAATCGCAAATAACTTTCTGTCACAAATTCAGGACGTGTCATTCTTGATTATCATGATATAATGATCTTATTTTTTCATTCTTTTACATAAGAGGGTTAACTTTGTTTCTTGTCTTTTTTATTTTAGTAAGTATAATAGGCAATACCAATAAGGAATATAAAACAAATCATGGTAATTCATAGAGCGATATCTTTATTTATTTTATGATTTCATCGATTGACTTAATTTGTAAAAAAATATATTGATAGCTAAATTGTTGACATTTACAAAATTGACTAAATGAAAGATTTAACAAAAATTACACATATGAGTGGTTTGCTATTTCGATAGTACTATATAACATATATACACATGTCTAGTTATAAATTTCTAAATAATTTAGAAGGTATTAGCTACATTTTCTCAGTAAACTTATTTATAACTGAAAAACCATTGATTATATGGTATGTAAATTTATTCCCGATTCTTATTTATACTTCTATATTGTTTTTTTTTTCTGTGTATTGCCCAGATCTCAGATTTCGGCTGATCTGGAAATGCCATATTCTTAATTATACATCTTTTAAATAATTATTACAAATTTTTTAAAACAGTAAAATTGCTAACGAAAACCCAAAAGCTACTTGCTAAACAAAAAGAAAGAAAATAAAGAAGTTTTGTGATTATAATAAGGCTAAGCTTTATAGAATACCAACTTTTAGTTTAAAATAGTATAGAAGTATAATAAGAACCTGGGAATAAAACAGTTATTAGCCCAAAATATCGACACATAATTTTACTAGTAAAGTAGAAACTTTTAAAGGTCCGAAAGAATGTATTTGGCGTATTATCTCTCCATATATAGTGTCCTTCGGACAGATTAATTAACAAGAATGTAAATAATTAATTATGTCACGAAAGTCAAGAAAATGGCCATTATGTTATGATAAGCAAGAAATCCAAAGATTTATAACTTAGTCACGATTGTAAATTTATAATGAACCTTGAACATAATAAGCATATCGACTCTCATAATAATGACCCTTCATTAACATTATATATTTCATATCTATAAAGAAAGAGCGATGGTTTAAAAAAAAAAGTAGTAATTTTGTAAATTGGTTAGAATTATTCGCTTTTATAGTATTTGAAATTTAAGAACGTGATTTTAGCACCAATTTATCTTTGCAACATTTGGATTACTAATGATTTCTTTCTTTGAAAAAAATCAATTGGTAAATCTTTCTTAAAAAAAGTTTCAAGAAAAAATAAATTCTAAAATAGTGATTGTACTGGCTTGTTACCAAAGGAATATTAATACTAGCGAACAATAAATGAGGCGACTCTACTCAAGGCGTACAATTTGAGCAAAATTTAAAGATACGACAAATATAAAAATGTATTAGACGAAAGTTTTAAGAATTTTAAAGTATACTTCAAGAAAAACAGCCAAATCATAACGCATAATACTAGCCAACCCAAAATATTCAAGTATTTAAGAATAGGTAACACAGATTTTTGATGTTAATATAAGCAAATGACGCATGACGCCTAACAAGTGTACGTTTGCAACAAAGATTAATAGATTCTCAGAGATTACTAATTTATAAAAATATGTTGTTTAAAAAGTAATGTATTCTTTTTATTCATATATTTGACGCTTATTTTTTTGTTATATTTTGAGGATAATATATATGTTATTGTAATATTGCTTGTAAGGTCTTGATTGCAGTAGCATAGAATATCGGCTGATTTTGATAAGGAAATCCAATCTTTACAGTGACGTACTTCATTGGACATATGAATTATAGGTGCAGACTTATTTACGTCATTAGTTACAGGTTAATTGTATCTTATTTTATAAAGCGATTTTTTATACTGGGTGATGTCATAAGTCTGCATCTTTAATATGAATTATATACAATTGACGTACAGTACCCTAAACTGGGGAGATTGGACTTCTTTATCCAAATCAGCCGATATCGATATGGTCTAATGTAATCCATAATATATATAACTCATAATTTTATGCAACTTGACGGATAGTAGATAGATAAATAAAAAAGGGTCATATTAAGTCGCACAATGTTGATAGACCAATTCTTTCAATTTTTGCCAATTATTCAATTTTTGCTAATTATTTTTTTCTGCTATTTCTCTCCGGTGTTACCCAAATCCGATAAGATCAACAGAAAAAAAAACAACCAAACGTTCCAATTTTCGGATTTCATGTAATGCAAAACGAAAAATTGATTTTGCGTGGCCTAATCTTTATAATCAACCTCTATTTATTTGCAAATTTGCAAATCTAAATTTAACACTAATTTTAGACTGGTTTCAAACCTGATTATTTAAAGTATTAAACCTACATTGGCCAATTAATCATGCACATATACAGTATGACATATATGGTAAAATGCCTAGTATTAACATTCATAAGTGGGTTTTCGATGCCATCATTGACCAAAACTAATAAATAACTCAAAAATATTTCACTAAGCTAACGGCAGTACGGATTCTATATAAGAATTTTTATCTTGAAATTTTTAACTTATGTGTCTCTTTAAACATCGATTATCAAAGTAAATAAAAACTTGTGCTATTTTTTTAATATTTACTCTCTTTGACTTGATTAACATAATTTGACATGTAAACAAACATACTAACATTCTGAATAGCATATTACTATAAAAAATATTAATAGATTATAATGAATAAAAATAATAATCGAACATTTATCAAAAATTTATTCTATAAATTAATATATGATCAACAAATATTTATGTTAAATTGTCAGAGAAATAAATTTGCCAGTAAAATAAACTCTATACAAAATCTTCAATATTTATAACTTTAATTCTTGATGACACGGATCAGCTTGATTTATCCTGCAAGGATCACCAAGTTCATCTTTTTGGACTTCATATCACTTTCATGGAAATGCCCATTATCGATTTTACTTTAGAATTCCTCATATTTATAAAATTTTGATAATACTCTGCCGCCTTGCATTCATAACTGTAACAATATACAACTGTAACAATATACAACACTAAATGTTCCAAGAGCATCACCCATCACAGAAGATTTTTGATGATAAATGAATGCCTTAGATTCATCCGTTTCGACTCCAATTCCTTTTTCATAACAAAACCCAACTTCACGCATTGCATTAATGCTGCGTCTTTATAATATTTTTCAAAGTTTTTGGATAAACTTTTCTTAATACTTCTGTAATAAAGTATTTTAAAGGGTAAATTTGTTTCATTTACATTTAAAGTAGACTGACTAGTACCAGTATTCATCTTTTTTTAAAAAACAAACTAAAATAATTTTTATTTCAAAAAAGAGGATCTTATTTATTAAGCATTGTATCTGTAATTCACCCCTGATTAACCGTTATAATAAATTAAATAGTAGATAGTATACTTCTTTTTCGTAACGTCATAGCAGATCGACATAATTACTTCATTAAACTTTTGATTCTATATAAAAGGGTACATGTCATTTCACCGACAATCAATTCACCGACATCCCATTTCACCGACAATCAATTCGCCGACAAGTTTATTTCACCGACAACTATTTCACCGACAGCCCATTTCACCGACAAGGGTTTTTTAAAGTTGCACTAACATTAACTCTAATTCCAACTGACCCTAACGAAAATGACCATTTATAAGTATCTACAAGCAATTTATCTGCAATAATTGCCTAATTTCTTAGAAAAAAAGAGGATTTAAATGTGCATCTAACTACTACTTTACAATATAATATTATTAATATAATAATATTTTTTATAAGAAAGTAAAAGAAAATAAAAAAAGCTTTATAAATGAAAATTACTATGATACAGAAGTAGATAATAAAAAATACAATTTAATAAACAAAAAAAAGAAAAAACAAATATATAAAAAAAAGCAAGATTTATATTTTATAATTATTAGTAGTTATAATTATAAATCTGTGTCAGATTTTAAAAAATTATAAACTATACTAAACAAAAATAACTCTACTACTTTTTTTATTTATTTAAATTATTTAACAAAAACCTTTATAAAAAAAATCTTGACTTAATTCTAAAGATTGATATAGAATATTAATTAGTTTAAAAGCAGTATTTAAAGAGTTTTTAGCAGCTCAAGGCATGTGTATAAGTTATATTTGTATTACTATATTATATTTGTATTACTATATTATTTCTGATTTATAATATTAACAATTTTGTTTAGAAAGTAAATACATATTACTAACTGTTTTGGTAAATTACTGTATATGTTAATTTTTAGAAAAAAATAAACTTAATTATCTATTTTTTTAAAAAAAATATAAAGGTAGTAAGTAAGCTAATTTATATTTTTTATTAGTTTTTGATGCTTATAAACATTTCTTATAGGTTTTATAGTTTTATAGAAATAATATATTTAACTTTGTTATTTATTTAATAAAAAACTTGAGCTTTTACTAAATACTTCTTTTATAATTTTAGAATGCATTTAAACTATTATTACAAAGCTATAATTTTTTCTTTAAATTTATTTTAATATTTAGTTATACATATACAGTATTTCAAAAAATTTATAAAGTTTAATTATCAACTATATTATTTTTTGTAATTTAGTTTTTTGAAAAGTTTGGTTTAGATAATTATTAAAAAAAGTTGGTTATTATCTTTAATTAACTTGTACTAAATAGTTTAAGTTTTTATAAATTATATTTATATTATATATCATAAGTTATAAAACATATTTTCAAAAACATGTAAAAATAATAATTAATATGGCACAGTAATAATTAATACCTATATTAATCATTTATTAAATATAGGTTTTTTAAAATTAAAGGTTTTAAAAGTTATTTCAAACAATTAGTAAGTATAAAGATAATAAGTTAATAAGAAATATAGATGCAAATTAAAATAATAAGTTAATAGTAAATATAAGTTTTAAATTATAAAGCATATTAAAATAATATATGATAAATAATATTTTAATATGTTTAATATCTTTAAGAGTGTATATATTATAAAACAATATATAATAAAGACTTTAAGTTTTATAAAAAGTAGTTTGCACTTATTATAAAATTTGCTTCTAATAATTTTCTGTTTATTCTATTATAATATCTATAATTATAAAATATTCAACTTGACAAATTTAATATGTCTCTTATTAACTAAAATGTTTATTAATTATATAACATATTTAATTAAAAGATAGCTAACTTATAATTTTGATTGTATCAATATATATAAAATCTAATTTAAATTAAATCTATTTTTAGTAAGACTAATTTTATATTTTAGCTATATTTAGTTACTTAATAGTATCTAAATATTGTTTACTTGTACTGTTTTGTATTACTAAATTGCCAACTTTATTATTTGTTTTTTTAAAGAGTTGTTGTATTATTTATACTTTTTTTAATATAATATTTTAATTATTATTTTATATTTAACTTAAACATTGTAGTTTTATTTTATTTTTATTTTTATTTTTTATTAAAACTAATGTTTTACAGCAACTAATATCTTTATTTGTGTTTTTTAGTTAATAAATTACATATTACTTATACAGAATAAGTGTATAACTAGTCATATATATAACTTTTGAGTTTTATTTAAATAGTTCATCTAAAGGTTTAATCTATTAAGGGACTAATTATTTAGATACTCTGATGCTTATACTGCATCTAGGCAGTTAGTCATCTCAGTTGCTATACAACTAAGTACTATTTAATACAACATTTAGCTTTTTATTTTGTTTATTTGTCAAGTTATTATCTAATTTCAAAGCATATTACCTAATTGTAAGGCTTAGAGTGCTTTTGTTGATTAATCTATCTACTCTATAGACCATTAATAGAACTTGACTTTGCAGAGTTTACCAGATTCTGGTATTTATTTCAAAACATATTTTTAGTACTTTTAGTATATCTCTGTTTTTTCTTTAAACTTCTAATCCAGATAGCTTAGTAGGACTATAACTAGTCTATTGATATATTAGGTCAGCTTGATATTCTTTTTTTTTAATTCTCACAGTTAAAATTCTGGTAG